AGGAGAAGTGAAGATTGAGAACCAAGAACTACCTAAGAGTGAACATTTTAATGATGTAGAGCCTTTTCCAGTAAGTACTCTTGGATCTAATGTTGCCCCAAGACTTGTAAAAGCATTGTTGTCTACATACACTCGAGTATAACACCAAAACGATTTTGATTTATCATCATTCCCATTATATAATGCTTGAAGAAGTCAAGGGGTGTATTAAGCAAAGGAAGCTTAACTTTTCCTTTTGAACAACATGTTCTGAATAGAGGACGATTTGGAGTTGATTTTACTAATTTTTCATCCCGAGGGCCACATAAACATAAGCCACGGCATTGTTACCCCCAGGTGAGGGCCATGTGAACATAAACCACGGTATTGTTACCCCTGAGCGAGGGCCACGTACATATTGGGAAGCCGTAAATATATTTCAAAAAGATGGACATTCTTTCGTGATTCATAAAATAACATTTCAGAAAACAAATCGTATCATATCAATCAGAAAATACTTATAATTAAACGTAGTATTGTGCGATAAACGAATACCCACTAGACTAAAAGGTAAGTTCTATAGAACGGCTATTAGACCAGCTATGTTGTATGGGACGGAGTGTTGGGCAACCAAGAAACAACATGTAGATAAGATGAATGTGGCTGAGATGAGAATGCTAAGGTGGATGTGTGGTAAGACTAGACAGGATAGGATTAGGAATGAGTGTATTCGGGAATGGGTAGGAGTAGCACCGATAGAAGATAAGTTGAGAGAGAATCGTTTGAGATGGTTTGGTCATATTCAACGGAGACCAACAGAGGCAGTAGTGAAGAGATGCGATGCTGTACCGGTAGATGGAAGTGTTAGGGGACGAGGTAGGCCTAGATTAACGTTGACTAGCGTTATAAATAGAGATATGAATCTACTTAATTTGACCAATGAAATGGCCTTTGATAGGGCCGCGTGGAGAAGAAGGATTCATGTAGCCGACCCCATTTGATGGGACTTAAGGCTTCGTTTGGTTTGGTTTGGTTTGGTTTCTTATAGCATGCTCAAACACACAAAATACCAAAAAACTAGCAAATAAACAATTAAAACACACCAGTATAAAATGAACTTTAAGGGGGGGAAAAAAAGCATATCAACAATTAAAATCATGAATCAAAAAATTAAAGTGGGGGAAAGAAAATAATTGTGAGAGGCATGACAAGTAGTTGTCCTAAAATCATCGTCAACTCTTTTCATTCAGCTTTTAGAGGATGAAGTTACAACACATGATCAGTACCAAATGACTCTGCCAAATTTGTATCAATTTCACTACAAGAAAAGGGGACAAACAACACGGAAGCAATAGCGACGGCGCGCCTCCCGTCGCAAAAAATGGTTTTTTGCGACGGCAACTTACACCGTCGCAAATAAAGGATTTAGCGACGGTGTTTTTTACCGTCGCAAAAAAAAGTTAGTTTTGAGACGGCATATGTTTGTTGTCGCAAACAGTGGCCATTTGCGACGGCAAACTTCCGTCGCAAAAAAGGCTTTATTAAAACGGCGCCATTTTATGATGTAATTAGTAACCATCGGTGACGGTGTAAAACGAACCATCGCAAAAAGTTAAAAAAAAAATTACCCCCGCCCTTCCCTTTCATCTTCCTGCTCGATGATTTCAACCAAATCCCTAAATCTTCGAAACATTTTTTTTCCCCCAAATTCCTCAAACGAGCTACGAAGGCGAACGGCTCTCTCTAGCGATGGTGCGACGGTGCGGCGGCGACGACAACGGCTCTGGTTGGTCCGGCGACGAATCTCTCTGTCTCTGCGTATGCTCTCTGTCTCTCTCTTTCTGTCTCTCTCTCTCTCTCTCTGTATATATATATATATATAGATGAATGTATATTCGTAAATCTGTAGATGAAGTAAAATAAATAAATCTGTAGATGAAGTTATGTATATTCGGCAATCTATACATTATGTAAATCAGTAATATTGCAAAAAATTATAAATTAGTGATAAGAAGATTTTATTTATAAATTTGTTGGTGATAAGTAGATTTTATAGTGATGTTTGTCTATTTATCTGGTTTAACTGAAAAATTATAATTTACTTTGCGCCAAAGTTATATAGACTGTTATGGAAAATTAGTGAGAAAATAAAAACAAAACATGAAAAATCTATTAACAGCTAATAAAGAATTCAAAGTTTTTCTCTTTAAATTTGAAGTTTTCAAATCTGGGGAAAGAATTTGAAACTTGGAATCTTATGACAGGTTGGGTGAGCCTCTGTTGGATTCAAATATTCTTCTTTTTCTCCCAACTTGTAATATGCCAGTTTCTATTCATATTATTTTGATTCATGCTAACAGAATATATATCTATATATTTTCAACTTTTTGTTGAAGATCAGTATTGGGTTTACTTGATTGTGGTCATTAGGTAAGGATCTAGTGTTTGATACTTGTCATGTGGAGTTGGATTTGTGATGTAGCTCCTGAACCTTGAAATACTTTGTTTAGTATATGGTTGTTCAAGTTCAAGTTCAAGTTCAACTTTTTGATTTTCTAGATAAAAAATAGCATCTTGATGAAATGGTTAGAAGCACAATCTTGTTCCTTGCAGTTCTGTGCTTGTATTTTAGGATTGAATAGAAGTGCATTAAAACTAATATTTGCATATAGTTTGTAAATTGTAGCTACTACATGGTATGCAATTCTGCCCTATATTTTAAAACAAGAAATGACCACCATTTTTGTTTTAAACTCGAAAGTGTCCTTGCTCTATCAGTTCTTGTAATGATCTTTCCACATGAATTAGTGGGTGAAAAATACTTCCCTTTTGGAAGGTGCCATTATTCAAGATTGATGTGACAAGGGCACTTTAGAAGGTAATGTGATAATGGTGATTACTTTTGTTTTGCTGTGAAAGGACCAGACACTTAACAGAAAAGAAGGGGAAAAAAAAGGATGAAAAGGAATGGGTTATGACTCATGATATCCATGTTGTATAACTGATTTACACAATAATTCTATACCTATTGACGTTTGACTTCTTTTTAACTTTGAAATAAAATGATCGTTTTTTTCTCATTAATTTCAAAAGTATCATTTCTACATCGGTTTTGGTAGTGATATTTTTGCAATATTACGTGGCCATTTCCCATCAATGGTAAGAAACTAAAAGGGTAGAAAGCTAATTACCCAACTTTTCTAATCTCAGGCTTCGTTACGTTGTAATTTAAAAGTTAATTATTGACTAAAAATATATATACGTATTTGCAAAATCCATACACATCCATTTATCATATGCATCATTAGTTATGTCATTTTTTTTTCTTTAGTTATGATGAATTATCTTCGTTAATTATGATATTATTTTAGTTAAGACTTATAAGATCTTTGGTTGTGCCTCATGTGGTGTTTGGTTATGATTTATTTATTTTTTTAGTTATGACTCAGAAAGTATGAAATTATATCATTTTTTTTACTTAAGTCGATCTACATTTTAAATTTTACATTTTCGTGTTAAATAGGTCCAAACTTTGCGAAGGACTACTGATGTCATATGGCCAACGACAGACAGAACGAGGACGCCAATCTTGATAAATGTGTCATATGCAACAGTTGTAGATGGAAATCAAATGGTGATGGTGGTTCAAATGGTCCTAACACAGGTGGCAAACAAGTAGCTGCAAAACAGATGAGGTATTTTCCTTTAAAGTCAAGGTTGCAGAGGTTGTTTATGTCATCCAAGACGGCCAAGTTAATGAGATGGCATGCAGAGGAATGAACTGATGATGGTGTCTTCAGGCATCCTGCTGACTCCCTTGCATGGAAAGATTTTGATCGTCGGAATATTGACTTTAGTAATGATTGCCGAAGTGTAAGGCTTGGCTTAGCATCTGATGGTTTTAACCCATTCAGGACGATGAACATAGTTCATAGCACTTGGCCTGTTGTGCTCATTCCATACAACTTGCCGCCATGGATGTGCATGTAGTAACCATTTCTAATTTTATCCGTGCTTATTGACGGCCCGAAAGGACCTGGTGACAAGATTGATGTGTATATGCAACAGTTGATTGAGGAGTTGAAAGAACTATGGAATGAGGGTGTGTCAACATTTGATGCATCAACAAATCAAATGTTTCAAAAGCATGCAGCTTTACTGTGGACAGTTAGTGATTTTCCTGCATATGCAAACTTGTCAGGATGGAGCATTAAAGGCGAATATGCATGTCCTTGTTGCAATAAGTAAACTACATCGTGTTGGTTGAAGCATAGTAAGAAACAATCATACTTGGGTCATCGCAGATTTTTACATACTGGCCATAAATTTCGGAAGGATAAAATATCATTTGATGGTAGTCGGAAAGTTAGACTCAAACCAAAATTGTTGTCTGGAACTGAGATGTTGCTACAATTAGAATCTGAGGGTATTTTAACCCAATACAAGAGGGATGACCTTAAGGAGAGGCATAGGAGACAGGTAGAGAAGGAGAAAGCTAGACATCGCACCCATAGTTGGAAGAAAAAGAGTATCTTTTATGAATTGCAATATTGGGAGCACAATCTAATAAGACACAACCTCGATGTGATGCATATAGAGAAGAATGTTTGTGACAATGTGTTGTGGACAATATTAGGGGTTGCAGGAAAATCGAAGGATGGTGTTAATGCTCGGCGTGATTTACAAGATATGAATATTAGAAAACCCCTACATTTGCAGTTAAGAGGGTCGAATAAAGCCTATTTACCACCAGCACAATTCATGATGACCAAGGATGAGAAAGATTTGTTCTTGAAAGTGTTGAAGGAAGTAAGAGTTCCCGACGGGTATTCATCCAATATATCACATCGTGTGCGCTTACATGATAGAAGCATTGGGGGTCTTAAGAGCCACGATAGTCATATTCTAATGCAACAACTTATTCCATTAGCTATTAAAAGATCGTTACCGAAGAATGTAATTGAACCCTTGATTGAATTTAGCAATTTCTTTAGACAATTCGAAAGTGAATCGTGCGACGGATTTGCAATATATTCAAGATCGTATCGCTATAACACTTTCTCATCTAGAGAAAATATTTCCTCTGAGTTTTTTTGATATAATGGAGCAATTGCCTATACATCTAGCTGATGAAGCCTTATTGGGTGGATCGATTCAGTTTCGATGGATGTATCCAATTGAGAGGTATCTTCTTACTTTGAAGCAATACGTGCGTAATAGAGCACATCCTGAAGGATCAATTGCTAAAGGATATCTTATGGAAGAATGCATGAATTTTTGTGCACAATATCTCAATGATGTGGAAACCAAATCTAGTCGACCCGTGAGAAACTATAGTGGTGCTGATAATTTGGGTCATGCTACTGGTGAAAACACAAGCTTTTATCTTGATAATACTTCTTGGGTACAAGCTCATCGGTACATCTTATGCAATACAAGCGCGGTTCAACCATTCATAAAGTAGGTTAAGTCACTCACTCAATATTTTATTATGTTTATTGAATTTTCAACTAAAATTTCAATCTACACAGCAAACACCTTGAAGTACTTAAGCTCAAAATGCCTCGTGTCGACGATCATCAACTTCGGCGTGAACATTTTGAAACTTTTCACATTTGGTTCAAGGAACATGTATGTATTTAACTCTATAGATTCTAGTTACTTAAGTCGATCTACATTTCAAATTTTACATTTTCGTGTTAAATAGGTCCAAACTTTGCGAAGGACTACTGATGTCATACTTTCTGAAGAGATTATTCTACTGGCAAATGGTCCTCATAACCTGACAAGGAGGTTCAACGGGTATATACTGAATGGGTTTCAGTATCGAGTAAAGGCCATGGATGATCGTCGAGCCACACAAAATTGTGGTGTAGCTTTGAAGGCAGATACCATAAGTTATGCTAGTCGAAAAGACAAGAATCCTCGTATGGGGTCT